CCAGACAAATATTTGTCTTACGGTTGTTATTGGTGTTGTTGTTCTTGTTTATTGTTATTAATGTTAACATGATGTAATATCTTTTTTATTAATTAATCGTGAAAACTAGAAAGCCCACGTATATTCTTTTTTCCTCGAGAAATGAAATTTAGTTAAACTAACGTATTTTCCTCTGACAAACCGATTTTCTTTTTCTTATCTCCGAAAAGAAGATCGAATTCTGAGAACGCGAATCGTTCTTGTTAGGTTTAACGATTTTTTCTCAAGAATCAATTAATTTTTCTTTTGAAGAGGAAACGTAAGAGGATGCGAACAAAAAGAAAATTTATTCGATCAGTTCTTCGGGAAAAAAGAAATACGAATCATCGACGAACATTTTTTTGAATTTCTAACTTGCGAGCATTGCGATACGCGAATTTGCAGCAAACACAAAAAAAAAATAAAAAGGGAAAGGAAACACAATTGCGGCCAGTTTGTTATTTCGAAATTGTTACGATATTTTTTTTTTTTCTTTTTTTTTTCCTCCCCTTTTATATACGAGTACGGCGATTTCCCTTCCTTTTCTTTTCTTTTTTTTTTTTTCTCTTTACGATCATCACATTTATCAAATTCCTTTTCGTCGTTCAAACTATATTTTCTAACCCATTTCCCATTAATTTTAGTAAAAATACATAGCCTATATATTTACCGAACTCTCTCTCTCTCTCTCTCTCTCTCTTTCTCTTTCTCACTTTTATTTATTTATTTATTTATTTATTATTATTATTATTACTTTTTTTTTAATTCTCTCTCTCTCTCTCTCTTTCTCTCTAGTTCCTTACTCGCCCATTTAACGTTTCTTTGTTCAATTATCACGGAAATCTTATCAGTTAGACTCCTCTTTTAAAAAGATCGCAATTCGCGGATCGCCATTACTCGTGTCTTTTTTCGTTTTTGTTTTTTTTTCCTTTTTTACATATGTATGTACGTGTTATGTGTCCGTATGTGTGTGTATATATATATATACATATATATATATACAATAGAATAATACGCATGTCGTGAAATTCTACAATTATACTTTTCGTCTATAGTTTTATCTCATACAATAATTATAATCATCACAAGGTCTCAAAATCAGGAGGATTATTCAAGATTGAATACAAAGCGTCCATATTGAAGAATGCCATTTTGTCAAGATGGATGCCAAGCAAGTCGCGGTTTTGAGTTTATAATGAAAATAAGAAAAAGAAATGAAAAAAAAAAGAGACTCGATCGTATCTCTCATTCTTACACACCATACAACATCATGCTCGAGAATATTCTTAACGATAATGAATATACCTAATTATAGATTACACAAAACTCTTTACAACATTTTACTTAAATTTACATTTTTATTAGCGTTTATTAAGTGCATGGAATCGTGCACGAACAAAATGATTAAGGATTAGAGTGATATCGATTGGAACAAGAAAAAAAAAACAAACAAAAAGGGATGGAAACCAACAAGAAAAATATTTAAAAAATACAATAAAAAGAAGGAAAGAAAAGATGGTCGAATATATTAAATGAGAAACAATAATTTAATTACATATTTTATCAAACTAATTCTTTTTTTTATTTTTTGTTTTTCTTTCTCTTTAATTTTAACGAAGAACGAGGCCAATTTTTTGTTTAATGATGATCGCGATTCTAGTCTTATTAAAACAAATTTAAAAGTTTTCCGAAACGGAGTCTCGTGTTATCTCTCTCTATCTCTTTCTTCAAAGGAGAAGAAACCTAAGTATATTTTTTCGATTATTATATTAGAAAGACAAAGTAAATTATTATCGCATTTATTTCATTATTTTGTTTAATTATTTATTGTTATTTTCCCTTTTTTTTTTTTTTTAATCAGGAGATCAAGCGCGACCGTGCGACCGAAGGTCCCATTTAATAATAAAAATAATATAATTAATAAATTATACAATAGTAAAATAGTAATAATTATAATAATAGTAACGTAACGTATCCGGTAATTTCGAGTCTTGACGCCGCTGAACATAATCGCAAAATTTACAAAAATAATAATAATAATAATAATAATAATAATAATAATAATAATAAAAGAAATTTCGAAAACAAAATAATTAACAATAAGTGTATATAAATGAGGAAACAAAAACAAAGGCGATTGGTTTTATTTTTTAGTCGACCGATCGGTTCGCTAATCGCGCCACGAACAAACAAAAAATAAAACAGGGTGTGTATGTTATAAACAAAGTAAGTGGTGTGTGAATACGTGAAAATGATAATGAAGAAGAAGAAGACGAAGATGAAAAGGAAAAAGAAAAGAAATATGGTGTATGGCACCGATCGGGTGGTGCTGGTGCTGGTGTCTTCGATTTTTTTGGTTGTTTTTTCGGTTTTCATTGCACCTAAGCTCACAATTTTTGTTTTCTCTAATTGTAAAAATTGGCAGTAACTCTTCTATCCTTCCTTCTCTCTCTCTCTCTCTCTCTCTTTTCTATTCAATTATTTATTTATTATTTTATAACAATTGTTTTCGAGGAGCAACGAGTCGAAGGATTTGGCAGTTCGTTAAAGGCTCTAAGTTTCTTTTTTTTCACAAATAAAATAAAATAAACGAGGAATGTTTGTTCAAGGATGATAAGAAATTGATCTCGATGGGATAAATAATTAAGGAAAAAGAAATAATAAGAAGAAGAATTGGAAAAAGGAAAAGTGTCGAAGTCATAGGGGATTCATTTCTAGAGAACAAAACGACAAACAATATGGCGCGAGAGAGAAGAACGCCATTTGTATTATTTTTTTTTGGAAAAAATCTCTATCTATATAATTTCTTTATTATTTCTCTCTTTCTTTCTCTCTCTCTCTCTTTCTCTCTCTTTTTTATTTCTTTCTTGTTCACATTTAATACAGAAAGAGAGAAAACACTTTAGAATAAAGCTATTGCGTTGTCAGTCATAACTGGCAGTGCACGTTTGTTTTTTTTCTTTTTTCTTTCTTTTGGCAGTGACGCGTTACTTTTAATAATAATGATAATAATAATAATAATAATAATAGTAATAAAAAGAAGAAGAAGAAGAAGAAGAAGAAATAGTATTAGTAGTAGTAGTAATAGAATTATAAAAGCAACGAACTAATTAATTAAAGTCTAGAAAAATGTGGGAATGAAAATTCAGATTGAATTTTCGAAAGAACGAGGGTCCTTATAATTGTTGCTCCCTTATATCCTACCATTGTTTTTCTTTTAGAATTTAGTCAGAAAAATTAGTCTTACAAAATTTTCACTAAACTTCGTTCTACGTGGTGAAATGTATAATTTGTGTGTGTGTGTGTGTGTGTGTGGGTGTAAAATTTTTGGCGTGTGTTACGCGTGTTTTTCTTTTATCTATACAATTACTAATAATAATTATTTAGCATCCCTTTTATCTATCAAATGGCTTCCTACATTATCAAATCAGCCTAAGAATAATAATGATTAATAATATATAATTTCGACTAATTATTTACATAATTAGGGCCTTCAGTGCGTGGCGCTCGGGCTTTGCTGCAGAGCGAATAACTAATTCCTAAGATAATTATAATATTTAGATGTACACAAATAAAAAAGCCCATCTTGCTCTAAACGCGATCAAAGCTCAAAGGGATTCCTGTGAATTTCGAAATTTATTATTAAAAAAAAAATAAAAAAAAAAATAAAAATTAGAATATAATACAATTTAAAGAGTGACCCAGTAAAAAACGCGTGAAAATTTCGGATAAATTGAAATGAGTGGTCAGTATTTTTATCATCTACGGTCGCGGATCGTAATATATTTTTTAATAATAATTAATAATAATAATAATTAATTCGCAACTTGATTTTATCGTTAAACCCTAGAAAAACATTCTTAATTTACATGAAATTGGCAGTGTTTCTTAGCTGGTGTGTGTGTATAGATGTGTATATATCCACTTTTTTTTTTTTTAATCTCACACATTCTCTCTCTCTCTCTCACACACACGCACACACACTTTCTTTCGTTCATGCATAACTGTACAAATGATCTAATCTCTACATAATTAATTATACGTTAATTTTGTTTATATTAATGGTCATCACGTTTCCATATTGTTCGGCGAACTATGAAAATAGTGATCGATCCAACTTGACAATTAATCTTCTTCCTCTGTTTCTTTTTTTTTTTTTTTATTTCATTTGTTCTCCATATTTTTTTCTCTCCATTCGTTCTCGTTTTCCTTTTATCTTTTCTTTTTATTTTTTGTTTTTTTTTTTCGCTAATCACCCCCACTACCCCCCCCCTCTACCTAGCGTTTTAAACGATATTTCTTCGAAAAAATTCTACTAATTCCATGGGAAAAATTTGAAAACACAGCCTTCGTGTATCTTACCCCGATTCGGGAAGGTAACAGCTCGTATCTGTTTTTAAACTCGTACAGCATCATGATGTGTGCTCTATTACACTTTCTTTCTCTCTTAATAATAATAATTATGATTAGTGTTATTATTATTAATATTATTATTATTAATATTATTATTATTATTATTATTATTATTGTTTATCGTTAATCAGCGATATATCATCATACTGCACGAGACTCAGCAAGAAAGATAAAAATAGGCGACTATGAAGTAAACGACAAATTTTTCACGAAAATGATATTAACAACTGCACCCCCTCTCCCTCTCCCCCGAAAAGGTATATGTATTCGACGAAATGACGTTGTAGAAGACATTCGAGGAAGAAATATTCGGTTAATAAAAATTCTCCCGGTTTCCTCGAATAAACTAGTAAAAAATCGCGAGCCATAATAATACCCCTCCGGGGGAGGTCCGTAAAAAGAATTGTTTCATCGTTTACTTCATTTTGTACATACATGGATTTGAATTTCTCGATAGAAACCGTTCGCGTTGGCGTACAAGTCGTCCGATTATCCCTTATGCATTTTTTTTTTGTTCTCTTATTATTTCCAAAATGATTTCCAAATATTATTAATTTCATCTGCCGAGCTTCTCTATTCAGCCTTGGAGACTGTCAACTCCGTCAACAGGGAAGTTAAACGAGCCGAACAGACTTATCTTCGTCCATTTTCTTTTTCTTTTTTATCTTTTTCTTTCTCTCTCTCTCTCTCTCTCACTCTATTACGAAATTTTAATTCAGCCCTAGTTAATAAACCCAACCTCTTACAAACAAACAACTCGTTTTGTTCTCAGGAAATATCCGCTATGTTGATAACCACGATTATCATTGTCAGTTCAAATTCATTCCCATTATTCGTTTCTCTTCATAATTCGTTTTATAATATTCTTCTTTCTTCATATACTTCCGCGCCGTTGTGTCAGTTTCTACCGAGTTGAAGATCGAGGTAGATCAATGCAATATCTTATCTTCTGTTACTTGATTTTTTTTTCTTCTTCTTCTTCTTGACAGTTAATTGGTCAAAGGAGATTATTAAAGTATTGACGATGCTTTTCTTTTTCCAGAATAATTAAGAGAAATAAAAAAAGAAAGAAAATTTATATATAATATATATATATATAAATCGTCGTGGTAGTATTATAGTTGTGATAGTAGTTTAGGTGGTAGTAGTAGTAGTAGTAGTAGTAGTAGTAATAGTAGTAGTTAGTAGTAGTAGTAGTAGTGTAGTAGTAGTAGTAACAGTGCCCGGAAGTGCCAAGGGGCCGGGTGTTAGATATTAATTGATTCCTAAGGCCACCAGAGTGATTATCTCCTTATTATTTTCCACCATTTTTCTCTTTTTTTTTTTTTCTTTTTCATTAACTAACTTCGTCATCGTCGTCAATTAATTCTTTTTTTTTTTTTAGAAGAAAAGAAAATGTCTCTTTCTCTCTCTCTCTCTCACTCTCACTCTCTCTCTCTCTCGCGAACCATCATAATATATCACTCATACTCTCAACGTTTTACGTTGCTTCGTCTGACGATGAACTTTGTTTCTTTTTTTTTTTTTCCCCGTTTTTTTCTTTTTAATTATTATTTTATTTTGTTCTATAGAGCAGTTCATCTTCTTTTTGTTCACATTAATCTTTTTCTTTTTTTTTTTTTTTTCATATTTGTGTTCAAACGACGGTGTAGTATAAAACGTATCCACGGTGAGGCACTTATGAGGCCCAAGCCCAGCTCTTCCGAGGCCGCTTGTGTGTATCTCTTTCTATCTCTCTTTCTCTCTTGTCAGAGTCTCTTAAAAAAAGATAAAGAGACTCTTATTTTCTCAAACAGGTAAATTAAGCTACCATCCTCAAATTCTTGAACGATGAATTCCATCATACATGAGATCTAAGAAAGGATTCTCTCTCTCTTTTATTTAGGCTAAATATATTAGAATGTATTATCTTCTTTTTCTTCTTCGTTTTCATCATTCTTCATCTCTTCCATTTCTTCTTATTCTTCGTTAGGGTAATTGTTACTATTGCTCTCCGAGTTTCTTGTACTGCGGAATCAGCAGCTTTGGTCATGTCATTCGATTCTTCTTCATTCTCGTTCGTCCAACTTCGGTTTATACCGCCTCGGTATATGGTTCACACAGGTGTTTCAATTATTATTATTATTATTATTATTATTATTATTAAATTTATTATTATTATTATTATTATTATTATTAATATTATTATTACTATCCAGGCTCCTTCTGTTTCTTATTATCACACATATTTCTGGACCCCATGTCGTCCATGTGTTCAAACTCCATTCTCCGTTTACTTCTACTTTTTCATCTTATCCTTCTTAGTCACCTTTATTGGTTTCCAATAATCTTCATTTCGAGACATTATCACGAATTCTTAACTGGTTTTCGACGTTGCTTTACTCTCGTTATCGATGGTACACCACTGTGCATTGCTGGGTATAACGCTTGACTAACTTCTTCAGGATATTTTCCAGCTATTTTACGTATTCTTACGTGTTTTGTGCTTTGTACTTCGGATTCTAATACCCACTCGTCTGGTTCTCTATAAAAGATCGTCAAAATAATTCAATTAATATATTATGTCGAATCGTATATTATTTAATTAGATGATTAAAATAAGAAAATAAGAAATACTTACATGTCCTGAGGATACCATCGTAAAAGGACTTTAACTTTCCCATCCATCTCTACTCTTCTTGCTAATACCTGTTAAATCAAATCACAATTGCACGATAATTATTATCTTTTGATTTTATTAATTTTACTCGGTCGTGTCTTCGTATTTAAGTTTTGAACTTACTTGACTAGTTAGGGCCATCGAATCTCCAGGCGTTTCAGCTAACCGACCTTGCGTTCTTGATTTGGCCAGCTCAAATAATCTATGTTGAAGACCTTCCATGACTCCGGAGTCGAAATAATCGAACAGTCGTGCTAAAAATATCAATGAAACAATTTTGTTTTACGATTTATTATTCTCCTCCGGATGATAACGGGATTTGTTAGAATATGAAAAATAGTTAATTTAACTTACCAGACCATGGTTGTCTTCTATATCTCAATCTCTTTCCATTCCTCCTGACAAGTTTGCCACCATTTTCGCAACTCCTCCTTCCGCTACTGCTACTTGTTTCGGGTTGATTGAAGTGGCCATTAACGTGCCTTTCCAAGGTTGTCTGTAAAATGATTCGTAAAGCGTAAGAATTTTTAGAAGTCCGGCATTTTCCAGGGAGAGCCTCATCCAACAAGATTAAAGGGCCTGCCTGGAAGTTAGATTTGAATATATATATATATATATATGTAAATACTTTCCCTCTTTCTTAAATACACTCATTTATCAGCATGACGACAAAAGATGATGACAAATTTGCGTTTATGCAGAGGAAAGTTGGATCAACGACGATGATTTTAAAACATTCCGAATATTCATTATAAATCATTCTTTCGTGAAATACAAATAGAACAAATTCCTAACTAACTGAGCTCTAACCCTTTTACGGGTTAGATATTATTATCGGGTGGAAGATAAAAAAGTAGGTTTCAGCTGTCACTGGGAAATGCCCAGAAGAATGTTGTTGTTTCGATGTGTCAGGAACACCAGGGACGGTTAAGACTAAAGACTTTTCTTCCATCCCCGATTTTTGTTCGTTAGCGTGACAAAATTTAGAAGAGTGTTGGACATTTATACTGATACGACGATATTGATATTTATCGAATAAAGATTGCTAACAACATAGAGAGATGAATTTACGAAATCTCTTTGGTACTTAACCGACACGGATGAACGATGACAATAAAACAATGACCATTTTTACAATTAACGACGACATACAATAGCGTTCGTACACTGATTGTCAATCTTAATATAACTAACACATTGTTTCTCGAATCACTTTTTTTTAAGAACATCACTCGAAGTGGGGGAGGGGAGAAAGTCTTCGGTCCTTCTTTTCCTTGTCCCATGGTCTTTTTTTTGTTTATAACGTAAAATACATTACCCAAAAGAGATCAAGGATAAAGTTTAAACAGATACAATAGAAACACACATCGTCTGACCAGGATGTTTCCACCAAGTTAGGGACCATCATTTGGATGAATGCTCGACGACAAAGAACAAGGTAAATTGTGATTAGTTCGTATTCGATTATTTATAGGGCATAATTTTTGGCTTCGTCGATATTATTCGTGTCTTTTTTTGTTTTTCTTTTTTTCATAAGATTGTTTCGAAAAGATACGTGAATGGCTGAGAAAAAGTCCACCGATATATATCGAACGAGAGTAATAATGAGAGTGGCGAGAGGGGGGCGGCGACCGGGAAGAAGTCAAACATTTTCATAGAAAATTTTCCGCTCGTCTTTCGTAGCACGAAGAGTACATACTTAAACGATACAAGACGAATTTTCGAACGTTCAAAAGAGAGAGACAATTTGTTTTTTATTGGTTTCTTTTTTTTGTTTTTTTTTTTCGTGAGAATTGACTGGTCTTCTGAGGAAGAATTAATCCCATTTAAAAACATTTTCTCTGATTATAGCTGAAATATATAATTATAATCGACGAAGGACGAAGAGAAAAATTAGAAGAATACAATATAAACGAAATCTGAGTTATCGAAAGAGAATAGTAATCGAAGTGTGAAAAAGTAAGGAAAAGCAAGCGAAGGAGGGAGGCTTTAGTCTTCCTTCGAAAAGACAACAGCTGCATCTCTAAAAGGAGGAACGATTTGAGAAAAACAGTTTCTTTTCGTGCCATCCAATAATTTCGTAATTTTCCATGTGAAAAACTGGTGGACGAAATTATACCTGTGAACTAAATCTACTGCCACATCCATCGACGATACAACGAAATGGTTTGTTCCCGCCGTGAGAAAGTACGTGTCTTTCCAGCCATCTTCTTGAACAGGAGGTTCTTCCTTGAACTTTACAACCCAGCCAATGGCAGACGAAATTGTCGCCTCCGGTTTGCGTGTTGATATGAGCCACCTAATGGAACATTGATATTCGTTAATCGACTTAAACGATTAACTTTGATGATGGCAAATCTCTTGTTTGAAGATTGACGATGAGTTGTTTTTACCTGGAGATGTTCGAGAAGACCGGTGCTAGATTCGAAACTAGCTTCGCACTTGTCCCATCGACAAATCCCGCTATCGGCATGCTGTGACCTATCCTTTTCAGGTGCCCTAGCAGGAAAACGTATCGTTGTAGGTGCTGACAGTATTGGAGAAAGCGTGGTCTTGGATTCGCTGCTTCTGGAATCATCCTCTTCCTCCTCGACGTCTTCTTCGTCAGCTTGCAACGTCTGTGTTTCGGTCTTTTCATTTTCGACAGACGATAACCTGGACAACGGGCCCTGACTATTCTGAGATCGTAAGAAACCAAGTAAGGCTGGGCATCCGTTCGTTAAATTATTGTTCTCGTTGACGTGAGGTTTCGAAGTAAGAATGCACCCTTTGTAATCGTTCGTCGGAGGGTTGGCGATTGGCGTAGAAGGCGGTGAACACGGTTTCATCGAGCTTGGACTTGCTTCCGAAGTGAGCCTACAATTGTATTCGCGTTTATATATAAAAAAAACAGGTTTAAGATAGGTTGAAGAATAAATTTGATAATTTGGGGGAGGAAAAAAAAGTAACCTCAGAGAGGAGATCTTGCAGGGCGGTATGTTTTTAAGAACGTCGTTGGAGATAGGCAAACTCGGCAGAGGCTTCGTTATTAATTTTTTATCTATTTTAGCGTTGGTCCTAGGCACGATAACTGGCTGTGTTTTCTTGATAGGCGGCGGCGGCGACATGTTAACAGTTCTAATTTCCCAATCGTTGCTGGTTTGCGTAGTGCGAGGAACGGTGCCGAGGTATTTGGCAAGGCCACCTTTGTTCCTTTGAACGGTCGGCGGCCTTCGAAATTCCGAGGAACTCTTAGCTACCAATACCGACATTGTTTCCGACGTCTTTTTAAGCTGTTGAGACAGAAAATGATACTAATGACGAATCATGAAATGAAAGTATGGTAGAAAGAAAAATGACTCACTTTAGATTGCGGCGGTTTTATTTGGGATTTAAAATACTCCGTGATTTTCCCTTGCGAGGAGGATTCGTGATGATGATGGTGATGATGATGATGATGAATGATACCGACTGGTTTGTTACCAGTGCTACCGCCGTTCGCTTTAGACGAGCCACGCGAAGTTGGATCGGCCGCGCCGGACCTGGGCAAGGTCCCCGCTTCGGGTTCCCCTTTATGTTTCTTGTAAGTCGAACAGGCCGTTGTCGCCAGTAGCGGGGTCCAGGGCCACTGGGGCCTGGTACCGAGTTGCGAGGATGGCGCCAGCTTGGGCAAACTTGGTAATGGGCTTGCTGATGCTCCCCTTAATGCTGCTACACCTTCGTCGCTGCTTGTACTACACGGCGAACCTGGTTCGGTGATGTCGCTTGTCCCACTACTGCTACACTCTCCACACGAAACTGCTACTCCACTGGGGACAAAATTCAACAACAAAATACGATCATTCCCTTGTCCAATTCTATCTATCCATCCATTCATTACGTTTTTTTTTTCAATCAGAGTACTACTACTAAATTCTATAAGAACTCAGGGGGGTGGGGGGCAAAAATTGAAAATAGTTACGGGCTGTTTTGGGAAAGGGATGACGCGGATTGGGACAAGGTTTACAGGAAATTACACGATCACGTTCTATGGGGGTAATCCTATTAACCCAACTTGGGATAACCTAATTATGAGACCAGACATTTCCAATTGCCTTGCAATGACTCTCTCTCTCTCTCTCTCTCTCTCTCTCTCTCTCTCTCTCTCTCTATCTCTCTTCGTCCTTTACTGCTGCCGACGATTCTCGTTGCCTAGGGCAACATCCTTTTTTTCTTTTTTCTTTTTCTTTTCCCCCAGATTTAATGCTCCAAACTAAAAAGAGAGAACGAGTGCCTTTGCCCGGTCAGCAACAACAACAGGAAGAACGAAAAAAAGGGGAAAAGAGAGAGAGAGATAGAGAGACCCAGACAAACTGAATCCTAATTCGTGGAACGATTATCTTTCGATCTAACCATCTCAATAATATCTCAAACCTCTACGCGAATTTGTTAAAGGATTAATCAAATAAATGTTATAATCGGTGTGTTATAATTTTGTTCGAAAAGAAAGAAAAAGAAATAAAACAAATCAACGATCGTCCATAAGAAAAGAACGAAAGGAAGGGGAGAAGGGAGGGGTATCTCAATCTTCCATCTCGCTTTACCATCAGACTGGGTTATTATATTATGGATATATTTTAAGATCAGTTACTCGATGTTTTGCGCTCGCGCGTACTTACACAACACAAACGCGCGGATACATTGAGAACGACGTCACGGTGAGAGAAAGACACTGACCTTTCCACATTACGATTCCGACATTGCGTTTACGCAACGACGCACTTCACCGCGCGGCCAAAGCGAGGGGAAAGTGCGCCAGCGCGCGCGCATACACACACACAAAACATAACAGAGAGAGAGAGAGATGAAGCGTTCATTAAAGCTGCACCGGAAGAATGCTCGACCTCGAGATGAACCCGAAAAATTAATGAAAAAAAAAAATTATCTTACAATTTTTGACACATTTTCTAAGACGTTCGATTTCATTTTTTTTTCTTTTTTTTGAGAGTTCAACAGTACAACAATTGTTCTCGATTTAACTATTTCATTATTCGTATTATTTATAGTATTTGGTCAAGATGATGAGAAGGATGATCTAAATACGCGAATTGTATAATATCTGTTAAGTAGTAGTATCATAGTACTGTTCAGAGTATCCATTTAATTTAATAGTACATCAAAGAGAGAGAGAGATAGAGATAGAGAGATAGAAAGAGAGGGTAATATTCATTGAACGTGCGAAAGGTCAAGAAACGCGATCAACCTCGATCGAAACACGAGATGAATTTGAAATGGGCCAACGTGACGACGACGTCCTCGTAACAAACCTAACTGGGCAATTATCAATGACCATCCTATCCACCGTCTTTCTATCTCTCTCTAACTTTAATTAGAAATTGCATTTACCACATGCACATACATACAGAAAGAAAAAGAGAGAGAGAGGAGTCTCACAATGCAAGATTATTCAAAGATGCAATAGTTAAACCTATCATTGCACTTGTATTATTTTTCTTGATTATAAACAAAAATCAAGACAGGGAGAGAGAGAGAGAGACAGAGAGAGTGATAGATAAAAATCTTGTAAAAAACATAGAAGGTTGTTTTTTTTGTTTCTTTTTTTTTTTTCTAAAAAAAAATCAACCTTGCAGGTGGCTCCTCTCAACGGGGATGCACCGAAGCTTCAAGCCCGTCTCTCTCTCTCTCTCTCTCTCTCTCTCTCTGTTTTTCTCTCTCTTCTCTCACGCCCTCTCTCCTTCCTCTTTTACACACACACACAAACACACATACAGAGTATCCCTCTTCTCTCTTTTCCTATCCGTGTTCGATCTAGCTCTTTCCTCCCTCACTATTACCAGCTAGAGCATACTTTACTCTACACACACACACACACTCTCTCTCTCTCTCTCTTTCTCTGACACATACATATATACATAAAAGTATTCTCTATTTTTCTATCTCCGTCTCTCTTTGCGGAACACTACTACTCTCCGGTGGGTTGTACGGTCTTCTATTGTTGCACTCGCTCTACCAATTTCCCTTCCCTTTCCCCCCCCTGCCCCGCGAAACCTCTTTCACTCTCTTTTACTATCTCTATCTTTCTCATCCCCACGCCCTTTTTTCACCCCCCACCAAGTGAACCGACCATCCATGTATTTTCTCTCCTCGCAGATATCATCCTAGCCTGCTTCGCTTGCTCGCTTGCTTGCTTGCTTGCTTCTTCCTTTTCCTCTTCCTCTATCCAACAATTTTACCATTTCTATCTATCAATGTGCACACTCTCTCTCTCTCTCTCTTTCTCTTATGGTGCATCAATATTTCTTTCTTCCTTTTTTTCCTTTTCTCTAAGTATTTCAAGAAAAATTTGTCGGAATATAATGGGGGATGAATAATTATGCAAATACCAAGTATGGCTACAAATATCTATTTTTTTTTATGGGGGTGGGTTTTCATGTGTGTTTTTTGCTCGCACGCGTTTACGTCTTTTTTAAAAGAAAATAGAAATAAGAAATGTTAGAACACGGGGTGTTTTAAGTTGTGCAGTATAACCACACAGGATGTAACACTATAGTGTATCAAGTTTTGTTGAGAAAAAACAGTATAATGTAACTCTACGGCGTTTAAATTTCTCTCTATCTCATTCTCTCTTTCTGTCTCTCTTTGTCTGGCACAGGAGGGCGGAAATGCATGCTCACCTAAATACCTTGAGTTATATTCACAGCCAGAAACCAGAGAGAGCACTGCTGAAAGTCCGCGGATAACGACGAGTCTATATGTAGTATCCCATGTAAATTCGTTTGAAATGTAATAGAAATACGAGCAAACGAACAAGAGAAAGAGAGAAATAATAGAAAAGAAAGAAAAAAAGAACAAAAACAAAAGAATAATAAGAAATTCGTAAAGATGTGGAGACGACAATTTATGTTCCACCATGTAATTTGTAAACTTCGACGAGTTTTAGTTATTCAACGTTTCATGCATACGAGGAGGAGTGTACTCCCTTTTCTTCCCCACCCCCACCCCCCAATGGGTAGCAATTTTCAAAGTTATCGTTAAAAGGGTAATTCTTGATTATTACCTAGGACGATATCATCCCTATTGGGGTAGGCACCGATAAAACCACCACCCACCCCTTTCGTTTCCTAATCAAAAATTCTAAACAAGTTTTGTTTTCTTCTTTTCCAATCGATTTTTATCCGAGCTACTTACAACCACCCACCCACCCATCTTTCCCGATATTTTTCCCATGTCTCGAAGAAAAAAGATGCTGCGTGAGAAGTTTGAAAAAGGGAAAAGGAACGGCCATCTTGAAAATACCCTCCCTTTTCGTTCCATGCGCTTTCCCTATGTCCTTTCCCGCGTCCGCAGGAGGAGGAGGAAAAGAAGAAGAAGAAAAAAGAAAAAGGGCAGACGGGTTTCTCTCTTCCCTTTTTCGCGCACCGGTCGATTCCCATCAATTTCGTTAAATTTTTCATCGAAAGCCAGGACCGACTTGAAAGCTCACCGAGCCTCGCCGGTAATCCTGTCGAATGTTTCTTCTTCCTTTTTTCTTTTTTTTTTTCTTTCCCTCTTACACGAAGGGTAATCCCTTTTTTTCTACTTTTTATTTATATGTTTTATTCCATTTAACCGTAACTCTAATATGAGCATCGAATATATTCCAATTTTATTTGAATTTTTCCTTTTTACCCATTAAAACAACACACGTCATACTTTATAATAATAATAATAATAACGATAAATATATTTAATGCGAGTACATATCGTCAGAGAGAGAGAGAGAGAGAGAGGGGGGGGAGAGAAAAAAAAAATCATTTGGACTATTTCCACGTTGGATGATCGATAAAGGGGTGAGGGAGTGGTGGGTTACGGGGGAAAAGAAAAAGAAAGAAGTTTTAGTTGGTTTGGTTTTTGGCAAGGGAAGATCGAGGTCAGATTATGATTTGGCAGAGAAGATTTTCGTCCATCCTGGACACGTTCGATAACTGACCTACACTCACTCTCCTTTCATTCTCGACGTGGTCACGCGAGCTTGCGTACGCACAATGGCCACGCACAAATTCATCCCTTTATTCTGCAAAATCGTTGCTCGTTCATATTCGCGGGAGAAGGGTTATTGAAAAGTACACGACCACCCATCCACCCCACAATTCACCCAAACCAACCCTTCATTATTGACACGTTTATTTGAACCTTTTTTCTACCTCTGATTTCTCTTCTATCCGAAATAAAAAAAAAAGGAAAATACAATTTCATTCGTTCAACTATCAAAATTCGTTCGTATCTACCTTTTTTCACGAGCTTTTTACTTTAATTTCGTGGAAGAGGAAGAAAAAGAAGAAGAAGGATAGAACGTAGTACAGGGTCAAAAAGGAAAATCCAAGAAGATTGGCATAAGGTCGAGGTTATTTGCTGGGAAATTGCTAGGCCGTAGGTTCATCGTAGCTCGGAGATCTCGTAGGAAGAAGGGACTGGAAACTTTGATAAAAGGGAGAAAAGGAGAGAGGGTGGAGTTTGAGCAAAGGCAAGCAAGCAAGCAAGCAAGGAAGAAGAGTGCCTAGCTACTGAAAAGGTTTCCAATGTTACTTTCGTACCACCTTCCCTCCTGTCAACGAAATCTCACCAATTTTATACCACCGATCGAATCAGTAATATTCAATTCTAACATCTCAAAAATCTCAACATCGGATTTAACGTCAGCGAGTCTATGAAATAAAATAAAATATAAAAAATATCATTCAGGGTTTTATACGTTTTTCCCCCATCCCCCAATACCGAATTCTTTCGCAATGGTTTATTGGTTAAGCGAATTAATTAGGGATGTCGATCA